TCCCGCGGGGACCGGGCCCAGCTCCCGGCACCATCCTCCCCGGGCCCGGCTGCGCAGCACAGGTAGAAACTGCTGCAGGCGCCCGAGCCCGCGGCCTCTGCACGGGGCTCCCGCATCCCCCGCACGCCAGTCCCACTGACTTGTCTGGACCGCACATTGCCCGGGCACTTCATAATTCCGCAGTGAATTCCTTGCAAAACCCGTCATTTTCCTGTTAAGTTCTCTAGGACTTTCCCATCAGAAATACAACTGCTGGGCACCCACCTAAGCTACCATTCCATACACACAAGACATAAAAGTCCAACTCGACAGCAAATACATAAAACAGCTTTAAAAGACACTACTAAATGCAGCTTCCATTGCAGAATTATTCTCACAAAGAGCACTTGAGAGGGCATGACAGCACAGACAAGGAGGGCTGAGCAGTCTATTAAGATTTCAGTAAAATTTCCCGAAGTGCTTGAATCCCATTCCTGCAGGCTATTTAGGCACTTAGGAGCCTAAGTTTAATGGGTCTGAAGCTTAGTCATTTCACCTAAATTATTTATGTATTTTTATATGTTACCTTTCAAATTTAGGCTCATTATGAAAGTAATATACAGATTGTATTACCTAGGCTGAGCTGTTTTTCTAAAAATTAGCTATGTTTTTTCAACTGTTTTCACTTCCTAAGTAAACGCTAAAATAATGCTGCTTTAAGTCTTATTTTTCTTTATTCCTGAGCATGTAGGACACTTTATAAATAATACATAACAACTGAAACAAATGTCACAAGGTGAAAAAACTTGCCCCAACTCTATACAGCGACACTTGCTACTACAGTGACAGTTAAGGATCGTTTGGAGTTTTGATTTTTCTTTTTATCTGGTTGTTTAGGTCTCTAGCTTCATCTAGAACCTGGTGAGGATATTGCTTATTGCTGAAACTCGGCATACAAATTGTCCTTGGAAATAAGTGAGAAACCGCACTTATCTTTCAAAATGAAATCAAAAACATTTCAAGGAGCAGAAGCTTATCAAGAACTTGAGACAAACATTTGGCTGAATTTAGGGCTTTGACGCTGAGCTGAACACAGGCAAGACCTGGAGATGCAAAGCTCGGCACAGACGAGGCGAGTGTGCCCAGCCACGAGCGCCTCCGGCTCAGCTTCTCAGCAGGCGGCTCAGCCTCCTTCAGCCCCTGCACCGCTCCCGCCCCCAAGAAACCTGCCCGGGAGATATTGCTGAGCTGGGGAGGGATTCTTCAACCCTCCCTCACTCCCATACACACCTTTTTGATTCTGCCCACTGCAGGACAAAGCTGCAGCTGTGTCTCCTGGCATTGCCTCTGCCCACATGCAGGTGATCCATGGTTTCTCACTGAAGGCAGCACTGAATTTTGTTCATGAACAAGAATAAGGAACTAGGAGCTTGTTTGCCCAACTGCACTGCAACAACATTCAGCTTTGTAGTATTGCTAGAGCAGGTTTTGAAGAGGTCTCATGTGGCTGCTTTCAGGAGGAATTGCTTCTAAGATGGTAAAAAAGCAAAGGGCTTTTGGAGGTGTCTCTATCTGCGCTTTTCTCCTGCCCTCTCTTCTCGTGCCCAGCCAACCTGATCTCATTGCGGGAAGTGGAACTATTTTAGGGGGATTTATTGAGAGTGCAAGTAAGGATAGGCTGCTCTGGCTACTAAAACATGGATGTGTGAGGTGACTGAGGAATAAAGAATCTGCTCCTGCTTGGATTCACTCCTCTCGTTTGCCCCTTCTCAGGGAATCTTTGATGCTACACTTCTACTTCTTTGTAAAGGAATTCTATGAAGTTAGTCAAATACTAGGTTAGATCAGCCCCTTTTCCCAGTGAATTACTGGCAAAATTTGCCACTGGTATGAGCCAATTCCTCTTCATTGCGTACATGGCAATGCTGGCCAAAGAAAAGGCCACGAGAAGGTAGTAAGCTCTAAGTCAGTGCAAATATTTTTGTATTCATTTTTAAACTTGTTTAAACACAGAGACACAGATAACAATACCAGGTTAAAAGAACAGAACTTCAGCAGAAAGCTAAACTTCAGAAGTTACATCCTTTCTTCTTTAATAAGCTCATTTTAATAGGCTGGCCTGAAAACAATTTTTTTAATGACCGGTCTCTGAGTGACCTCATGAACCAAATTACACGCAGGAGGCCAAGCCTTCAGCAACGAGGCTGCTGCAGGTTGGCTGCCTCTTTCAGGGCCAGAGTTGCCGTTCCGGGCAGAGCAGACTGGGCTTTGATAATTCCTAAAGCGCAGGTGTCTGCAGGGGAGCACCGAACTCCTGGCCAGGCCGTGAAGGCTCTAGGGAAGCAGAAGTGACAGAAGTCACTTGTGGCCCAAGAAAGCTCTTGGTGGAAGGGCTGATAGCAGCACTGGGGAAGAGCTGCCAGGAACAGATCTGCCAGAGGCCTCTGGGTCAGAGGAAAAAGAGATTTGGATTCCCATCCAACTGGTTTATTTAGGGGTTTGCTGAAAACAGTCAATGAAACCAATAAATGAAACCCTGAGGTAAAGGGCCTGATCCAGACGCTGTGTATGATGCCAGCCTTTCCTGGGCTAGGGAGAGAGGCCAGCAGCTCGTGGAGGCCTTAGCTGGTCATTCTACTGCCAATGGTGCATAAAGCAGAGGAGAAAACAACTCCCTTCACCTCAGCTTTATTGGCTCTGGAGTGCTGACAGTAGTAAAAATGTGTTTTTTCAGTAGACAAAGTAAATACAACTTTCAAGGCACAGAGGAAGCCAATGCGGGCAAGACTAAGATGCCATTTCTACAGGATCACATCTCTGATGAGGAGAGAAGAGGTATGCAGCAGCCACTACTCTGCTTATGACTGCAGAGGCACAGCTCCCAAAACATTATGAAACTGATGCACAGAAGAAACTCTCAAAAGTTTTTCCCCATTAAATTGATTAATAGAAAATGTCAGGCAACTGAGCTCACTTTTAGTCTTACGTTTTAGTTAGCTGATAGATAAGGGTCAGACCCCTATACATTTTGTAAGAAACTTCTTAGGGATTGATTTTCAGCCTTCTTTTAAACTGTGTTTCTGAAGTAGTCTACTTTCAAAGTAGGAGTATTTCTAAAGGAGATGCAGAGCTCTCAGACATTTGCCATTCAGCTGCCTACCCCATTTACGTTGTCAGTAACTGTAGGCCTTGGCCATCTCCACAGGACTCCATTTTCCACAGGTAGAAAATCACCATTTTATTGCTTTCCTTGCACTCTGAAGATTCAGGAAGAAGATTCTTTGCACTCTAAAGATTCAGGAAGATCTAACTGCAAGTTTGAAATCAACTGCCATGCTTCAAGGTACCTTACTCATTTCCTTTTCCCCTTACAGAATCACAAAAAAGAGAACAGCGTAAATGTGTTAATGGATCAGCTAGTAGATGATCAGCTGCTCTGAAGGAAAACAATTATGAATCACCTACTTAGGCAGGAAAACAATACCGAGAAGAAAGAGCTACCTCGAAATCCCAAAGGAATGGAGACATAGACGGACACATTTGGTCAAGAACTTGCATGTGCATTGATAAACAATATATAAATAATATATTTTGAAACTCAGCTCTCCAATGAGCTAAATTCTATGGCGAAAGATCCATTAAAGAGATGAAAAAAGCAAAAAGGAGACCAATCAATTAAAAAAAATGCAGATTATTTCTTAGTCTTCTATAACTACAACTGTATGTAAAGATAGACTTGATGCTTGCCAAATGTATCCACTGCCTTAAAAAGGAGAAAAAAGTGAAGGCCATAAAAGAACAGAAAAAAAAATCTGTCAAGGTCCTTAAGGAATTGCTCTACTTTGCTCATTTCATGTCATTCCTGC